TCTTCTTATAAAGATGAATTCAGCAAACCTAACACTTTTCCCACCGACCGCATCAGCAATTTTACCGGTTTGTGAACTTGCGAAACGATGTGGTAGTGTCAACAATATGTTCGGTATGCGTGCTATCAAGCAGATTCAGTCTTATCTCACTAAGGTGACACCATCTGATGCAGATAATGAGCTCGCGAAAGGTCTGTTATTTCTGGTTTGGGTTGTGCCGTTAAAATCATTTTATTCCACTTCACGTCTGTCCGCATTCACAAATATTGCAGTCGTGATATCACTAGAAAAGCGTTACGAGCACATAAAATCATGTTACTGTACAATAACTGAGAACGCACAGAGCTGGAAATGGTTATTTATGGTTTAGCCTAGTGACTCGAATCGCTTGAATTGCCTCTCAATCACCGACGCAGGGTGAGGTCTACCTGTATTTGCCTCGTTGAGGAGATATTCTCAAAACGGACGTTTTTTTTACTCGTTATTTTCATTTTTCTTGATAAAATGGAAATAAAAGAAGGTTCCTTCCAGCGGCAATCGCTCAATTTCTGGCTATTGAACACGGCGTGCAATCGGCAACCACGATGACTTCTGAGGCGATTTGTCGCAGAATATTTGCAATCGCCAAAAACTACTTCCTTCAGGTATTGCATTCGACGACATCGCTTGATTGTTGAATACGTCTGCAATCATTCAAATGACAAATTTACCATTAAAGTTGTTTGGTAATAAAGATGAATTTAGGCATATTCAATGTTTGATATGTCATCAGACAACTTCAATAAGGCACGGATGCTGGGTAATTTGGGTCAGTTGCATTATCTGATGATGAATTGCATCGCGGTGACCACCGACTCGAGTGGTGATTCGTTGTATCGTAAGGAGAGGCCGTTCGCTGTTGAGGTGATTTATTCGTTTGCTCATCGCCAATCAATCAATCCGTTCACTTTTTGAAGGCGAAACGTTATTACGAAACGGCGTATGAAGCAGCGTCTAAGAATCGTCAGCTCGGAGATAATGAATTCTATGAACATATTTGTAAAGACTTTGGTAACGTGTGTTGTTTATTCGCCACGATCATCCAAGAAAAATCAACGGATTTCCTTAAGGTTGAGTCGTTTTAATCTTTTATTGCTCGTCGGTGAGCGAGTTTGTTTCTTTTTGCTGATTTGAGCCTTACGTATAAAACTATTATATAGATTGGTCGAGAGTGTGAAGAGTATTTATGGCGAGCGATAAGAGTGTACGAAGATGCGATCGAGTGGGAAGGATGTGGTGCCGAGATGCGAGTGTTCTTCATTAGAAAGACGATTGAGGCACTTTACAGATGTGTGTCCATCAACTGCACATTTCTGAAGCAATCAGTTCGGGTTTTGCTTGTTTGCGTTCATTCAGAATCAGTCCTTCGTGAACATTTGCCTCACTTCTCTTTTCTTTGAATTCAGCAAATCGAACAAAAAGAGAGATGTTTAATAATGGAACGATCGAAAATGATCGTAAAATATGCGAACGAACTGATGAGGTTAACGTCGAACGACGGCATCACCGTCCGAGAGTGTGCCATCGCGATCCGTGCATATCTTTTTTTGAATTGCTTCAACGACCACCAAAAAGGTTTTATTTCCCTTTTATCAATCGAATTTCATTTTCGTTTATTACATTACGAAAAAAATGGTCGTTCAGTATTGGCAACGTTTTCAGTGTTCATTGACTGTTTCAATCATATAATGTCTGTTTTTCTTTTCTATCTTATTTCGGAAAATACTTCATCATTTGCGCTTTTCCAGAATTGATCGCACATGATTATAAGACGAATATTTCGATGCTGAGGGATATTTTCCAGCCGATTTTGCCAATTTTAAAATTATTCCATAGAAATTCATCAGCTGATTTTTTCAAACGATATTATGTGAGTATTATTTGTGCACTCTTTCTGCTTGCAAGAATTTATCTACAAACTCTCTCAGTTACTCTCTGAATTCATCTAGCGTTCTTAACATGACTTCAGGATCAATGTACACATATCTAATTTGCAAAGAAGTTATGAAAACAAGATGAAGATTTTTCATAATTATTCTGTCATCTGTACACTGATCCTGCATAATTCCATAGCTATATATGAACACGATTCTCCCATACCTTCCCTGATGCTAGCCTAAAATACTGAAGGAAGCATTCATTGCGGGCTGATTCCCCTCATCAACTGTTATTGTCAACAATTATTTACACCAAAAGTGGCGTCAATAACAAAAAAAGTGGTAATAGTAATAACAAATAAAAGTTTTAAGCGTGATGTGGTGATGCGTGCGGGTGAAGATTTATACGGATATGTTGTATGGAAAGTTATCGATATTTTACGAGCATTGGTCAAGGATTCATATCGTGTTAGTGCTTATCGTTTATTAGTGCTTTAGTATTTGTTAATATGTGAAGGGTTTCAGAACACGGTGCAATTACGCATGGAGAATGCAGACGAGTGGAAGGAGTTTTACCGAGAGTTGTTGTTCGAGGACGATTTGGGGATCTATGAATCGCTGACGAAACTTGTTGGTGCGTTGCAGCGGGGTGTTGATCGACTGAAATTGTTTTGATCTTGCGTTTGTTTTTGTTATTCATACCGGTCATCAACCATAAATCAATATCGCAATTATGAGTGCGGCACATTGCTTGTTGCTCAACACCACATTTTCATTTCCTTCCATCAGCTGTTCATTCGCTATCTGATCGATATTTGTCGTGTTCCTTGTTAACGGTGTCCTCTTGGAGACGTTCCTGATTATTCGTTAATTTATCTGACGCATTTTCTTCCTGCAAACTCCGATGATGCGATTGGTCTCGTATCGAATTCCACGTGAACTTTTGCTTACACAAAACTCCTTTATGTGCATTGTTCGAAGTTTGA